ATTTAGTTGTTCTGTCCCAGAGCAGTTAAAACTTGTTCCAAAAACCCCCTGCAGGGGCACCTGGTTGGCTCAGTCGGTGAAGCATCTGCCTTCTGCTTGGGTCACGATCCTGCGGTATTGGGTATTGCTTGGCAGGGAGTCTGCTTCTCCCTCTACTCCTCCCCTCTGCTTGTGCTCACACACTCTCTCTATAATAAATAAAATCTTAAAAAAAAAAAACACCCTCAAAAATCCCCTGCAGGAGGCCTTCCCTGGTGGCTTTGTGACCCCCACCCCAGGGCGGGCCAGTCTGGGCCTCCAAGGATCATTCTACTGCTCCCAGGTCATGCTGGGAAGCCGTGGGAGGCTGGGGAAGGTGTGTGGAGGAGGGGGCCCAGGACGCTTTCTGCTTAACCACACCTGGAAGCCACTGGGTCTCCCCACCCACTGGGGCTCTGCCTGAAAGTGGACACAAGCCCCATCTGTTCTCAGTTTTCACAGGCTTCCTTCCACCTTCCAAGGGCTCAGCTCTTAATCAAGTGTCCTCTCATTCATTCACTAATTTCACCATGATTTCTCGGACATTCCCCTTGGCGCCCAGCCCTGTTCCTGTCACTGGCTATTTGGTGAATGAGACTGAGGCTGGGCTCCCAGTGGGAGGGACCAGCGGTAATGAAGTTTCTCTCCCTATACACATGATGCCAGGTAGTCACAACTGCTCTGCAGAAAATAAAAGAGGGAAATGGGACAGGGAGGGAGAGGCGGGGTTCTTGCAGTCTGGGGTTCCCAGAAAGGAGCCTTCCTTCCATCACTTGTCCCTATACCCAGGTGTGCTAGCAGTTGTGTCCTCCTTGATTTCCTATCCAAGTGAGATCAGCTGCTATTCTGAGAGGCTCTCCTCACCCACGGCTCGGGGGGGTGGGGTGGGGGGTGGAAACGGAGTCGATTCCGTTCTCTGGAAAGAATGCCAGCTACCAGACAAGCGAAACAGGCATATTTGCATTGCACCTCGGCAAAGAACATCTTAACTGGTGGGTCACGACAGGGGTCGCCGCAGGTGTGCTGGAAACGCTGGCGGTGCACAGGTTTCAGGAGTCTTCCAAAGCTGGGGCGAGTTGGGCGGGGGTGAGGGTGGGCGTGGGGGAATCTGCCCGCTGCCCCTCCCACCCGCTGCCCTGTGCCGGGTCTTCCTTCCGCGGCTTCGGCGGGCCCGCAGTGCCGGGGGCGGCCACGAGATGGCAGCGTCGCTCCACGCCTGTGGCCGGGCGGGCGCGTGGGCTGAGCACAGCCGAGCTGGGGGCGGGGAAGGGCGCGAGGGGGCCCGCGTGGGGGCCCCTGCCTGGCGAGACCTGGGGGAGCCTAGCTCGGAGCCAGAGGGCCATGGGCTGGCTCCCCGTTGGATCTGCCTCAGTTTCCCCAGCTGTACACAAGGGGAGAGATTGGGCTGTGTAATCCTTAGGATCCTGCCCTAGCCCATGTGGCCAGCAGGCTGGGGGTGAGATTCAGGGTTTGCTGGGTGGGGGTCCTCCTAGGTCATAGCTGCCAGTCCCACCCACCTTCTCTGACCCCCTCGGGGTCCAGGAAGGCCTTTTTTCCTGCTCAGGATAACGCCGGAAATAGCTCCAATATAATCTAGACTGGGGGCTTGGTTTGATATGAAGGAGTCCTTCCCTCCACCACCCTAGGATCTGAGGAGGCAGGGCTGGAACTCTCAGCTCACACAATGAGCTCAGAGAGGCCCAGGGGCTTGTCCAAAGTCACACAGCTGCGTGGAAAAGCCACCCTCAAAACCAGATCCCTCTCCTCAGCCATCCTTAGCAGCGATTTCCGTCAGTGAGGAAGGGGGGCGAGGAGCAGAACCGCACCTGTCTACCTTGGCTCTGCAACAGCGGACCTGAGAGCAATGCAGGAACAGGGCTGGGGGGGGGGGTGGTGGTTGGGGAGGGGTCTGTTTTATCCTTTAATAATTTTAAAATTATTTTTGGGGATCCCTGGGTGGCACAGCGGTTTGGCGCCTGCCTTTGGCCCAGGGTGTGATCCTGGAGACCACCCCGGATCGAATCCCACGTCGGGCTCCCGGTGCATGGAGCCTGCTTCTCCCTCTGTGTTTGTCTCTGCCTCTCTCTCTCTCTCTCTGTGACTATCATAAAATAATAAAAATTAAAAAAAATAAAATTATTTTTGAAGTTATTTATTTATTTTTAAAGTACTATCTATACCCAACATGGAGCTGGAACTCAGACCCCAAGATCTAAAGACCTGTGCTCTTCCCACTGAGCCAGCCAGGCACAGGGGAGGGGTCTGTGTTAGATCCTGGTCTGGGAGGGGCTCTCCGAGCAGGTGGAGCAGGTGACGTTTGCCCGGAGTTGGGAAGGGAAGAGGAGGCAGCCGTGGGAAGACCCGGGAAGGGACGTGCAAGGGCTGAGTGCAGAGGTGGGAAACTAGAGCCAGAGGATCAGCTAGGGCGGGGGCGGGGGAGGGGTCACTGAGCCAGGGGGAGAGCGGAAGTAAGTGGAAGACACGTGGGTGCCCTCAGCCCTGCCCCGGAGAAGGGCGGTGGCTCTTTGGGGGGTGTCTGGGGGGGCATGACCCTTGGGGGAAGAGGAAGGCAGTTCTGTCTGCCATCACTCCTGATACTGTATAGCCCTTGGCTCGGGTCCTCACCAGACCTGCTCACCCCTTCCCCGTGCACCTCCACCAGAAAATGACTTGTTAACTTTGGTCACAGACTCCCCAGGCCTCATTGACCTGCTGCCTGTCAAACACAGGGGACGAGGGACTTCTTGACTTGAAGGCCCCAGGTCCTCCTCCTGCGAGCTCCCTGCAGGTTAGCCGTGTATGCATGTCCTCTTTGTAACACTGAGTTCCTGGAGGGGCTGGTGCCTGCATTCCATTCATCCTCCCCCCCACCCCCCCAGGCCTGGCACACAGTAGGTGCGCAGCTCAGCAAATACTTACCAGTGGGGGAGGCAAGCCCCTCTCTGAGCATCCCAGCAGATGTCGACAGTGTCTGGGGCATCCTCCTCCCAGCAAGGGGAGTCACAGAGAGGGGCAGATGGGCCCTTCACAAGGGCCACCCCAGACCCGAGGAGACCACCCATTGTCTAGCCTCCCATTTGGTTCTCCGTGCAAGGATCACAGACCTTGCCAGAGAGCCTGAAGCGAACTTGGCCAGTGCGTGGGTTCTTTGAAAAGGAAGCCTATTAGTTGCAGCGGGAGAATCCCTTTCTGTCTTGCAATTAACCTGGCCTGGAGACTCGCCACCTGCCCCTGGCTCTTTCTTCCTTCTTTTATCTAAGAAGAGCTGAGCGCTGCTTCTGCTAATGAGCTTGTCTGTACTAATGAAGCAGGTGCCCTGTCCCCTGCCATCCCCCCTCACCAGCTGGGAGGGGGAAGGATTGTTCTTCTGATGTGAGCTCTGGGCCCAGAGGAAAATCGGATACATGATAATAATGACCATAATGATGAGAATGATAATGTCCACAGCGGATCCCTTTAAATGAGCTCTTACTTCATAGATCAGGGGCTTTATGCGCCTTCTGTGGGACACCATTCTGCAGGTGGATGCTGCAATGGCTTCTGTTTCTCAGATGGGGAAACTGAGGCTGGAGAGCATAAATGAGGTGGCCCGGGTAGCATAACCAGAAAGTGGCAGGGCCAGGTTCTCAGCCAAGACTTTGAGACTCTGTTTGTCTCACCCCACGCTGCCTTATTGATGTTTCCAAAGAGTTTGACCCACTTTTTCATGGAAAACCTAGACACTGGAGCCAGTGGCTGCTGCATGGCAGCTGGGAGCAAACAAGGACTCCCACCTCAGGTGCCCCCCCACCAGCTGCATGGGGCAAGTTTCAAGGCCTCTGAGGGTTGCTGCAGGAACCCCCCCCCCCCCCCCCCGCCACGTGCGCGCAGTATGATTCATCCATTGGGCTGCGCCCTCGCTGCCCCGCCGGGGCTGGGGTGAGGGGGTGCGGAGGGGATACTGGATGCTGTGACCCCCAGTGAGACCCTGTCCCCAGCCTAGAAGAATCCCAGTCCCCGTCCTGGCCTCCATTATACCCCCGCGCGGCTGCACCTCGTCTCACGCCCCCTCCGCCTCCAGGGCGCCCCCGAGGGTAGACATCCCAAGACGCCTTCCATCTCTTTCAGGATCCCTGACCGCGCCTGGCCAGCGCACCTGTCCGGGGCCCGGCGCCCGGTGGCAACTCCGCGGGGCCACCCCTGCCCCCGCCTCCCCTCCCCCGCAGACAGCCCCAAGCTGTGACTTCATCCCAAGGCCTCTGGACTGCGCGCAGCCCTGCGGACACCCCGTCCACCCCCAGCCTCCGGACGTCGCTGCCCCCGCCCGAGGACCTTCCCCTCCCTCCCCCACCCTGCGACCTTGGGAGCTCCCGCCACTTGGCCGCGGGCGCCCGGCTCGCTGCGCGGCGGCCGGCAGGTGCCCCCTCCCGCGGCCCCGCCCGCGCCCGTCCCCCGGGGACGCCGGGGAGGGGCACGGCCCGCCCCTACGGCTGCGCGGCCGCCCTGCGCCCAGTCTCGGCGGCGGGCCCGCCCCCGGCCCCGCCCCGGCCCGCCCCCGGCCCCGCCCCGGCCCGCCCCCGGCCCGCCCTCCCGCCGGCGCCCGGCGCTCCTCACTGTCCGCGGGCCGAGGGGCGGCCGGCAGCTGGCGCGGGCAGAGGCGGCGGCGGCGGCGGCGATGGGACGGGCGCTGGGGCGCGGGAGCCGCGGCGGCGGCGGGGCCCGCGCAACTCGGGCCAAGTGCGGGGCCGCCGGCGTGGGCGTGGGGCTCTGAGCCCGGGGCCCAGCTCCCCGCCGCGCGCGGCCGAGCCCCGCCGAGCCCCGCCGAGCCCCGCCGAGCCCCGCCGAGCCCCGCCGAGCGCGCAGGGCGGGCGCAGAGGCGCCGCCAGCGCCCGCCGCCTGCGTCTGGGAAGAGCGGCGCCCCGGGGCGAGCCATGCCCGGAGCCCGAGCGTAGCCGCCCCGGGAGCCGCGGGCCGGGCCGGGCCGGGCCGGGCCGGGCCGGGCCGGGCGCGCGACAGGAGCAGCGCCGCGCCCCCCGCGCGCCGAGGACCATGCCGCCCCCGGGCCGGGCGCCGCCGCTCGGGCTCCTGCTGGCGCTGACCGCGCTCCGGTGCCCAGGTAAGGCTCCCCGGCCCCCTCCCCGCCCCGGCCGCCGCGCGCAAAGTTGGCTCCCGCGCGGGGCCGCCACCTCCTCCGCAAGTCCCCGGCTGCTCGCCTCCCCCGGACTGGCTCTGGGGAGGCCCGGGGGTCCCCGCACCAGCCTCCGTCCCCAGACCCCAGCTCGCCGGCGGATCCCTGCAGGGCGCGCGGGGGCAGGCGCCTCGGGGGGCGGGTGGGCGCGCGTCTCCGGGAACCTGCCCCCTCCTCGCCCCCTCCTCGCCCCCTCCTCGCCCCCTCCTCGCCCCGCCCGGCCCTGGTTCCCGCGGGGTTTTGCTGTGACGGGGCGTCGGCGGACCCCTTCTGCCCGTTTCCCGATGCCCGCGGACGACGCACGGCCGTGCGTTCCCAGGACACCTGCGGGGCCCCAGCCTTGAGGTCGTCTCGGTCGGCGCAGCCTGTCTGGCTCGTCCGCAGCCTCTCCCCGCCGCACCCTCCTGCTTTTACACCGCCGCCCCCCCCCCCCGGAACGTGTCCCCTCCCCAGGTGGGCCCCCCTTAGCCGAGGCGCAGCCTGCTGCTCGCTTTCTGGACACGCGAGCTGCCCCGGCACCTTGCCCCCCGGGCGGCCGGGCAGCCCCGCGCGCGCAGGGCCGCCTGGAACGTGGTGATGCCCAGAGCCACTGCCTGGGTACCATGGAGCCGGGCTCCCTGCTGGCACCGGCGCAGCTGTCGCCAAAAGCTAGTGAGTGGCAAAGGCAAAACAGTCCTGTATTTTCTCTCTCTGCTGGAGTTTGGAAAGCTTCTACCACCTTGGCCTGGCTGCGTGTTGGTTCTAGAGGAAGCCTATCTTAAAATGCCAATCCCCCCCCTCCCCTCCCCCCTCCCCTCCCCCCCACCCCAAACAGTGGAGACGATCCTAAAGGCTCTCCCAAAGGCTCGGATGAACCCGGAACAGTCACGAGCAACATCCGTGTGCACTTGGGGGAGCTCAGTTCCCCAAACATTTTAAAATCAGGACCCGTGATTTGGGAGCAGAGAGCTTTCGCTTTAGAAAAATTCTCATTTCCTTAACAAACAAGCGGCACAGACACCCAGGCTGCTGTAGAAAAACACAACTTTTAACTTTTCAACCGTAACTGCCTTAGGGAGGTTGCATTTAGAAACGAACCCCGTATGACCACTTAATGTGTGATGTATTCGCATGCAAAAAGTAAACACTGTCTTACTTCGAGGTGCCCTCAAGTGACCCAAAATATTTCATGAAACCTTCCACTGGGAGAGAACCTTCAGTCGGAGATATCCATCGCTGTTCACACGGCTTTGGTTTACCGTGTGCAAGAGTCTTCGGTCCGCTTGGCTCATAAGCAGCTATGATAGCTGTTCTGCTTTCAGCCTTCTTCTGTGGTACATGGCGGGGGGGGGGGGGGTGGGGGGGGTGGGGTGGGGGGGTGGGAGCAGGTGGTCAAGGCTGTTTCTTCCTAGCCAAAGCCCTGGGACCTGATCTCAGAAGTGCAGTCCCTTGGACTTGAAAATTGCAGTTTTGTCTCTATTTTGTTTTCTCCACGGGGGTCAGCCTTTGCCTGGATGTGCTCATAGGCGAATATTGGAAATCTCTCAGAGAAGCTGCCTGCCTCTAGTGCTTGTAAGAGAACATGGAGAACCCCCCCTCCCCCCTTCCCCCCCCTCCCCTAGCAACGGAAGAGCTTGCGCCTCGCTCTGGGAGGCCAGGTCCTGGCAGGGAAGGTGTGCCGCCCCTGAAACCTGCTGCTGGCCCCGCTCCTAGCCATGCCGCCCCGCTGCTTTCCCGAGAGCCCCAGCTGGGCAGCTCCTTTTGGCAGATGCCGCGAGGACAGAGCCCTCAGTTCCATCCTCAGGTTCTTGGGAGCACATGTGAGTCTTCCACTGGTCCCTACCAGGGACCTAAAGAGAGACAGTTTGATAACTCTATATTTAGCACCAGTTAGGAAAGCTAGGAAAAAGAAAAAAAAAAACAAGGCTGAAATTCTTGAAAGATACTTAGCTGCCTACTGTTGGTTGAAAGGTTCAGAGGAATTAGCTAGAGCTTCCTTCAGAGCCGGTTGGATTTTTCTGGGTAATTTCTGGCGTGATTTACCGACCACGTTTGGCTGAGGTTCTGGGGGAAGGGCTGGAAGGGTTCACAGGAGAGGAAGGATGCCCTCTCCCCCATCACACGGGGACTGTCTGCTCTGTCCCCCCCCCCCCCCCCAGCGTGGGTAGCTGCCATGGTAAAGAGTGTGGTGGGCGTACTTCTTTCAGCCTTGCAAGCGCTTAAACATATGGAACTATACTTGGTAAGAGTCAGCACAAATCCTCCAGCTTAGCGACTAGGGGGCCCCCATTATTCAAGCCACTTTTGTGCATGCTCTGGCTTTGCAAATTAGCGGCGCTGTTACTGCCCCTGCTGGAGGAAATGGACGCGCCTTGCTTCATTGACCCATTGTGCTCAGGGTCTATAAAATTGGGGTGGGTGGAGAGCCCCCGACAGAGAGGCCTTGTGAGTGGCAGAGCCTGCCAGTGGGGGGGGCTTTGGCTTCAAAGCGGAGACACTCTTAGCCGTGCCTGGCACCTTGGCATGGCATGTGGTATATTTCTTTCTCGTTACAATAGTGGTTGGGGAGGGGGGGGCTGCGTGTGTCTGGTGCTGCTCTTCAGAGAGGTGGCTCTGGGAGGTGGTGGGAGTGGTATGCAAATGCCGTCACCTCCCCTGAGTGATTTAATGGCGGTACAGTGGAGGTTCCCAGAGTAAATCATTTCACTTCCCCCCCTACCGGATGCAGGGAACTTGGGAGGCGTGGGGCTTCTGCATGAGCTGCAGTCCTCGGAGCCAGCAATGAGCATGGTGGTTGCCATGATCCAAGAGAGTGAAAGAAACCCCTTGCTTGTTGGTGCAAAGTCCAGGAGGGTGGTCTTGAGGCCGGCAGAGCCTTCTAGGGGCCCTGTTCCTGGATGAGCCCCCACTTGTACGCGGCTGGGTGGCTCCTTTCTTCTCTCCTGGGTCTAGTATTGAATGGGCACAGAGAGGGTGCATTTCCCTTTGTAGCAGTGGCGTTGAGCAAGTGCATGCTGCCCATCGGCGCGGGGAGCTGGGGGCTCCCTGGCACCATGGGCAGCGTCATGGGGCGAGAGTGGTACCACTAGCTCTTTCTTGGAGTAAGTGAGTGGGCTTGCAGAGCAGGAAGGCATCTTAGAGAATCTTCCCCCTGCCCTCCAACAGCCCCCTTTGCAGATGGATAACAGGAGACTCAGGCATCGGGATGACTTGGTCAGGGTCATGCAGTGAGTTGGTGTCAGATGGGGCTCGCGGCTAACACAATTTCTCTCTTGAAAAAACCCTTCGCTCAGCCATTTCCTTGCTGTACACAGGGGAGTCTTTCTGGTAAAGGAGCTCTACTGTGTGGTCCTTTAGGGGACTGTGGCTCCATTTAAGGAGCCCAAGGTCAAGAGAATGACAGCTGTTCGGTGATGCCAGAATAGCCAGGCGTCAGCTCACAAAGGCAGCAGGTCATCACAGTGGTGCTGCTGGGGATGGGGCAATGGGACCAAGAGCCTCCGAAAGTGCTCACTGTGTGCCACGCACCATCCCAGGCCTTGCCTGGTCTGACCACAGTGGAAGACTCACCATGCTGGCGGGTGGATGGTCTCACTATTCACCGTTTATAGGTGAGGCTGTCGAGACCCAGAGAGGCTGAGTAGCTTGCCTGAGGTCACACAGTGTCAGGATTCTGGCCCAGGCGCTGGTCTGTGCCTTACCCCGACCTCACATGGCCATGTTCTCCCATGTGGCCTCAGCGTGGTGTGGATGGGTTTCTGGATTCCAGGGTGGGGGGTGACTATTGCGTCCCTTTCATGTGCCAGCCTGTGCTTTTCTTTCTTTTTTTCTTTCTTTCTTTGAAATATATTTTTAAAGATTTCATTTGTTTATTCATGAAAGACAGAGAGAGAGGCAGAGATACAGGCAGACGGAGAAGCAGGCTCCCTGTGGGGAGCCCGATGTGGGACTCAATGCCAGGACCCCGGGATCACGCCCTGAACCAAAGGCAGATGCTCAACACTGAGCCACCCAGGTGTCCCATGCACTTCTTTTCTGTAACAAATACATCTGTTGATGTGAACTGAGGTTGAGAGCCATAGAAATCAGACAGATGGGAGTCTGCTCTGCAGGCAACTGGGAATCCTTCAGATTGGGTGCTCTCATGGGATTCAGTGGTTATGGTGAAGGCTGAGACTTTGGCAGACAGGATCTCCCCCCTTTCCTTTTGGTCTCCTGTCCTGGTTCTTGGATTTCAGTGGACCTTAGTGTCTAGAACAACTCAGTGACTAGCACTCTCTGAGGCTGTGATTGTGTGTCTAGAGTAGTCTTGGTTCACGTTTCTCAGCTCAGGTATCATCCTGCTGCTGCATGGAGCAGTTCGGCCTCCATGCACTTGTTTCTTCATGAGTGATTGATGAGCATCCCCCAAGTCCGGATGTCTTCCTCTGATCTACAGCTGATTGTGTGTTCTGAGCCCTTCCCAGATTTTGCTTCATTGAGTCCTCAACAACCCCATGGGGGTAAGGACTGGTGTTCGCCCTATTTTACAGATGGGGAAGCTGAGAAGCACAGAGGTGCCATGGGTTTTACAAGGTCACACAGCCATGGAGGGAAGGGGGATCCACGCGAAACCACAGTGTGCCTGGCTCGCAGTCCGTGCTCCTAACTGCTACCTTCTCTGTTATTGTGGGCTCCGAGTTTTGGAGGAATTGATTGGATTTTGACACTTATTTGGGCCCCAGGAAGCCAGGGATGTGTCTTATGTTGAGTTGGTTCTTCTATGAGAAGATTGTTTTGGAGGAATTGGGCTGCTCTAAAGTCAGCCCTCTCAGTCAGGAGCCCTGGCAAGCATCGGCAGAGAGGGCTTGGCGTTTTGGGTAATTGCACCTGCATGGACGTCCAGTGGAGGGGGGCTGCTGTTGCCTCTTGGGCCATGTCTGGCCTGTAGACTTCTCTCGTTGGTTGCC